TTGATTTTATAAATCTCGTCACCACACAATAAATATAGTAATGTAACGTCATACAACATGACCGCAGCTTGTTGCGCAGTAATTTTAAAGACAGAATCTCAAGCGATTTTCCTTTGTATTACGTGGGTTTTGTCAAAAAACGGTCAGCCATTTGTTGGCTAACGCGTTGTTTTTTATACCCTATGAAAATCTGAAAATTTAAATTAAAAAATATGATTATGATAAATGTTTGTGTAATAAAATTTAGCAATTAAATTGTTTAATTACAATTTTATATCATCCGAAAAACTTTTTTTTAATCCATTTCAAGAAATATGCTTCATCTAGATGAAGAAGAAGATTCAGTGTTTTTCAAAAAATAAAATAAAAAATATTTCGCGACCGCCGACCCTTCGCTCTTTTTTTATGTATTTTATAATGTTACAAGGATGTTGTAGGGATACTTCAATTTTATAACTTTGTTTTTTTCTTTTGTAACTAAGATACAAATAATAGATAGATAGTCTTTACTCACTTCTATAGAGCCTTCGCGAATCCCAGAGGGTCGCGACACACACGTTGAAAAACACTGATGTAGATGAACGATGATTTGAGTAAACGTTATACGACATGTTCTATTTTTTTTAATGGATGATAATGGAATGGTAACCCCACCCGCACTTTCGGTGTACACCAGCGGGGCACCAGTGATGGACGATAGGTGAGGATGAAGTAGGTCAGCTAGCCCATCGTGACGAATTCAACAAGTAATGTTCACGATGGTTTCCAGGGAGAGCCACGTGGAGGTCGACCTAATAAGGCATATTGCTAGCAATGGGGCTGTCAAACTCCATTGCCAACATTTCCTTTCCCCCCCCCCCCTCTCACATGTCCTATTCATCGCAGGCTTTTCTCCTCTACGAAAGTATAAGTACTAGGTAAAATAGTAAAGGTTAAAATAACAGTTCCGTATGTTAAGGTCAAATAGTGAATCACAAGACCAATGATAATGATGTCTCATTTTTGTTGTATAATAAAACTAATAAATTTATTATTTTATATTGGCTTTATTAGTAAAATTTTTAATACCTTGGTTTATTTTACTTTTTTACTTGGTTTATTTTGGTTGGTATTACTCTAATTTTCGTAGGATTCTCTATTTTTTTTAAATAATATATAGCCCATTTTACTCTCTGAAAATACTCAGCTGATAATAATCTTTCTATAGGTGAAAGAATTTTTAAAATTGGTTGTATAGTTTTTGTGTTTATTCATTACAAACAAGCAATCAAATCTTTCTTCTTTATAATATTAGTATATATAATAGGTCACTCTAATATCACTTTTTAGATAATCATTCCGAAATACTGAAAATTGCGTTTTTGAACAGAATAACTGACAGAAAACGCAAACGTTGCCAGTGTTGCTGCAGTTTAGCATGGAGGTTCCTAATTTAAAATTCGTTAAAACACTGTGAGTAAAAAAAAAAAACAAAGTTTAAAATCGTGTAAATTTGTTACGAATCTGCGCAAATTATTCTTACAATTTTACAATTTATTTATTTCACAAAAAATCAACTTTATTGTTCAGTGCAAAATTTATATAATCAAAATATTTTTGCAATTGAGCGAAAAACTCGCATAACATACACATAAAAAAAACAGTCTAATTAAGAATCTTTTCCTCTTTGAAGTAGTTTAAAAAAGCAATCGCATCTTATGGTGAGACGTGAAGTCACGTATTCCATTCATTATGTTTAGTTTAACAGAGGTCGTGCATTTATAATCTGTTATTAAGCAAATACAGGTAACTGAATTACCAATAAAATTATTGTTCTGCACAGATGCCAGCTGATGCAAAGTTCATGGCTCATAACAACTCACGTAATACATTTTTAAAGTAATTGATGTTGTGATCGATTGAGTGTTTCATCATACGATGATATCAGATCAGACTGCCATAAAAGCCGAGGCATATATTTCATAGTTACCTTTAAAGTTTTTTTTTTTTTTTATACAACTATTTATAATTATTTTAATAAATAATTATATTAATAATTATTCAAAAATTTCCAAGGTTTTGGTATGAAAGCTCCCAAGTCTAAGACCATATCTAAAATTAATCTTAATTCAGCTTAGACTGACTAAAAGCAATGTGTGTATTAGTCATTTAAGAAAACGTTACCTTGATCCTCCGGAAATACGAATTTATGATTGCTTCATTCTTTTTATGAAATTACAAATATTTTTTTTTATTACAGGAAATGGCAAATTAGCTGACGGCCCATCTGATTGCAATACATCACGAATTATACTGTGACGCCCACGGCACGATCCCTCACGCATTGTCTTGCGGTGTGTGTAATAAAGTTTTTGCTTGCTTTTAAGTGGTTGATTTTATTAGTTCAAAAAGTTGATTTGAATTTGAGGCAACTACTGACAAAACCCCCAAAGGAGGAGACTTATGTTTAGCATTGAACAGTTAAAAGCTGATATGATAATCATCGTCATCATCATGATGTAATAATAATACGTATTTATAGAGTTGTACATTATTATATGTTGTAAGTTTCCCATTAAAATTTTCTTATTTCAATTTTAAAAAGTACCCGTAACCGGCGAGCGTGTATGAAAAGATTAATGAATGTAGAAGAAGCGAAAGAGGTATGTTTGAATCGATTTGGCGTTTCATTGTTTTTGTCTACCCTAATGGGAGACAGGCGTGACAGATATGTATGTATGTATTTTAAATTTCTAGTACTTTTACGTAGTAGAAAATTAGCAGCCTCAACACAGCTATCATTTGAATTCAATTGCAGGATAGCTGACCAAACGACCGGTCTAGCGAGTCCTAGAATGGACTAAAATTATTAACAGCCTACGTAACATCCGGAAAGTTTCTTGTTTCTTGACTAATCAGGATCGTAATACCTATGTCTCTCACATTCAGTGGTCGAAGTAGATATGCAAGTATCAGGGGTCATAGTACAACTCCTTTTTCCACTTATAATTACGTTCCAAGTTAATTATATTATTAGTTGATTTATTGCTTAGTTTGAAAATCGAACATTCGAACATCTACGTATACTTTCGAAAAGTTTTTTTTTTATCCAGCCAGGAAATTTGGTAAGAAATAGGAATTTAGACAGAGAAATATCAATATGGTACTCATTCGTACTGGAAGTGATTTTCTGGCTATTATTTATACCATTTTATGACCATCATGTTAGTGAATACTTTCCACTACTAAATACTTGGATTAGGGTTGGCAACTACTGGCGAAACCCGACCTGACATTCATTCAGGCATTCATCATGATGAATTCATCAGGAATTAACCATGATAGTTTCCAGGGAGAACCGCGAGGAGGTCGACCTGGTTGGGTATATTGCTAGCAATGGGATTCTCAGTCTCCATTACTAACAATCATTTTCCCCCCGCGCAGGCGAGGTTACCATTCCATTATCATCCATTAAAATTAACCCGGCCAGTGCTATCGGTATACGTTGACGAGGCATCAGTGAAGAATGATAGGTGAGAATAAAAGTAGGTCAGTTAGTCCATTGTGACAAATTCAACAAGAATTAACCACGATGGTTTGCAGGGGGAACCACGTGGAGATCGACCTGATGGGTATATATATTTTTTGTAATAAATGTTAATGGAATGGCAACCCCGCCTGCGCTAACAATATACACTGGTGGGGCACCAGTGAGGGATGATAGGTGAGAATGAAAAAGCAGGCCAGTTAGCCCATCGTGATGAATACATCTGGAATTCAGCACGATGGTTTCCAAGGAGAACCACGTGGAGGTCGATCTGACAGGGCATACTGCTAGCAAGGGTGCTTGTAGTCAGCATTATTAACAATCCCTTCCCCTCTGATGGGTATATTGGTAGGAATCGTGCTAGTTTAGGAATCCTATTGCTGACAATCCTGTCAGGTCAGTTGACCCATTGTAATGAATTTACGGGGATTAATTATGATGGTTTCTAAGGAAGGTCACATCCAGGCCCAGCAGACAGGGTAAGTATAATGCACGCATTGGGGGGACAGGGATTGTTAGTAGTGGGATCCAACAGACCCATTACACGCGGTTCCCCCTGGAAACCATCGTGATTATTTTTTGATGAATTCATCACGATGGGCCAACTGACCTACTTCATCCTCACCAATCATCTCTCACTGGTGCCCCGCCAGCGTATCCCGATAGCGCAGATGGGGTGACCATTCCATTTTCATCCATTAAAAAAATGCACGAATTTATTTATTATATAGGCGACTAAATTAATTTAGTACCTACCTAGGTAAGTATATATGTAGGGACCTATGCGTTTTTTATTTGATAAAAATGGTATAAACTAAGTACGTACCTACCTATAACTTACCTTTTCGTGTACATGACTTCTCAAGAGTCAAGAACTGAATGAACTCGGGACACAAGGTTAGTGACCGGGGTCAAATCAAGATATCGTAGCAGCACGCCTTAGGGTTGATATACCTACCTATCTAGATTGAATTTTTTATAAGTAAAATCCCACTCAGATACATGTATGTAATACAAAATATTATCTTTTATCAATTTATAGTTCGTAAAATACTTAAATATCATTAATTCTCATTTCTTTATTATAGAATTCATTTTATTTCTTATATGTACTTAGATATGTAGGTCATTTTTTAATAATAGGCAGGTATATCTTACTTATTTTTACACGACAGTAGCAAAAAGAGTACTATGATAGGTATGTAGTACTTGGATTCGAATTTCATATTGTAATCTAATATTTATTTACAAACATCTCGCCCGTTAAACCGAATCAGTAATTAGATTTGTAATAGTGTAAGTTTGTAACATTCATCAGTAGTAATCATTACAGATCAATAATAAATAAAATAACTTCTCGTAGTGACTGTAATATTATTAATGTCATTAGTAAATAACAGACGAAGCGATGGATACCAATAACAAATCTTCAACGTCACCCAGACACGTAGGTATAGTACAAAAGTAGACTTACAAGTAAATAAGCTACGAGACACCCGAAGTTCCTTGAAAACCTCCGTCAACTTTCACTAAACTTCATAACACAATTATTACCACATATGTCACTATATTATTCACTTAATAATAACCAACAAACACTAATACAACAACAATTTACACACATATTTTGATTACACCGTATTTTAGCAAAACCAAAATCCGCTGCCGCCACAGCGCCGCCGCGAACGAATAAAAAGACTGGTCGATCGACTGGAGGTTGCGCGAACGCAACACCGCATTCCACGAGTTCTAATCGAGGCACGTAATGTGTATGCGTCTCGCTCTGACGTACGAGAAAACACGTCGTGTAGCAGGGACAAGGATATATCCTAACTCATACGCTGGCTGTGTTGTAGGTAGGTAGGGTCCGTTATTCATACACAGGTAGAAGAGATATTGTTAAATAATTAAATATTTTTACGATGGTACCTAAGTGATTTGTAATTACTTTGTTATGTGCAAATAGATATGTGCGAATTTTCTTATATTTTTTTGTTTTGCAAATTTCTAATGATCCTCCAATAATAATAGGTAAGAGGATTAGGTAAGGTAGATAAAAAATATATCTAGTAACGATCAAAATAAAAATTTAGTGTTACTAAATAAAAAATATAAAAAAAAATACGAACAAGATACACTATCAAGTCGAGTTCCACGCGATTTCCCCTAAAAACCATCATGATTAATTTTCGTTAATATATGATATTATGATATATTATCCGTCACTGGTGCCCCGCCAGAATATACCGAGAGCGCAGGCGGGGTTACCATTTCATTTTCACCCATTAAAAAAAGTAAAAGTACGGGGACTAGGAGACCTATATTTACAAACTATCTTGATTAATTCTCAGTGAATTAGTTACAATAGGCCAGTTGATTTGACCTTATCCTCAAATCATCATCCTCACCTCATCCTCACATATCATTTTTACTATTAATCCGTCGTAAAACAATATCAACGACATGTTAATAATATATATAAAAAAAAAAAAAACTTTAGAATAGATAATATTTTTACATATAGTTTAGTACGGAGAACCAAGTGATAAAAACTTCAGTCTTTATATCTCTCCTTTTATCCATTTTTAATCGACTTAAAGAAAAAAGGAGTTTCTATGTTCCATTGTATATATTTTTATGTCGATCATTTTTCCGTCAAATGTGGACTGAAAAAAAATCTTTACAACAATTTGCCTTACGCTGTTTCTGTAGATTATTGACTTTCCCCTTAGATAACACATGTAAGTACTATCTGTTATAGTTTTTTAAAGGATAAAAATGGAACTGTAATTTCGGTTCCGCAATCGGTATACACTGCCGGGATATCAGTGAGAAAAATAAAGACAGCTTTATTAGCTTATCGTAATGATATCTCATCATCATCTTATCAGCGTTTACCTGTCCACTGCTAAACATATGCCTCCTCTTTGAGGGGTTGACAACCGCAGATAGGCTTTAGAGATGTTTTAAGAGCGACGCTGCTGCCCATCCCTTGCCCTCCTTAGTCACCTTTTACAACACTTACGCGAAAGGGGTGGCCTATTCTATGCGGGGACCACACGGATGTTATCCTGTTGTGTGACGATTGTAATATATGTGATATGTCAGGATGTTATGTGATGACATCTGATCATAGTAAATTATTCTAGGTTTCCTTCAGTGTTTACGTCCTTTGGCCTTTTGTAACAGATGCTCAGATGGTACAGTATCGGAGTGTCACAGTTATTTTATCGTTTTTTTAACAGGTCTCTTAAAAAGAGTATATTAGATTTTTTCAATGCGCACGTGACACTCTTAGTGTTGCAGGCGTCTATAGTCTACAGTGACCGTTTACCATCAGATGGCCTTTGTGCTAGTTTGCCACTTTCGTGGTATAAAAAAATTTTTAGTTTCATAATAGTCAGAGATACAGACATAGCCTTATTTCGATTTTACTCTATTAATAATTAAATATTAAGTCTAATTTTTAGATTCTGACTTTTCAAAATTTTAACGCCTTACAAATATACGTTAGCAACTGTTGTTTATGTGTGACACTTTGAGATATTTACTTAATCTGGCTTCTTTTTTTGGTATAGTGTATAATGTACATTTATAATAAAAAATAATAAGAAGGTAAAAAATTACCTCAGAGTAGGGAAGGAGGGGATGAAAGAGGTTTGACAGAAATGGGGTTTAATGACCTCATTGCTAGCAGTATACCCTTGCTAGGTCCATATTCACGCAGTTTCCCTTTGTGGTTTCCTGGTGAATTAATCACGATAGGCTAAAAGACCTGCCTTTATCCCTATCTACCATTCCTTAATAGTGACCCGCCAATGTATACTAATAGTACAGGCGGGATTACCATTTCAATTTCTTCTAATTGAAAAATATACAGTAAGGAAACAGAAATTTGGCTATTTATTTATATATTTATTTGTACAGATTTAATATATACACAGGATGTATTTAATACTTGATAATCTTCTCTATCAGTCAACCGTTAGACTAAACAGAGAGAGTAGAATTACGTATATCAGTCAGTAGGTATATTAGGTATCACCCATAGGTGATACCGAGATATGGTACCGTCCTAGTCCGGCTCCTACTAATACGGCTCCTGTCATGTGTCGTTGCTTCGAAAGAGAACTATGACTTTATAGTTTTTATATCATTTCATATTTTTATATTTAGTGTTGTAACATTTTATTGAAATAATTGAGAATTAAGAATAACCGAAACGAGAATTTAAACAAATGGCAGAAAAATATTATTACTTTGCTTGTCTCAGAAAAACAAGCAAAGAATGTCAAACGGTATGTCAGATGACAATTTGACAGTACTTAATGTTATTATCATAAATAACCTAGAAACATTTCGTCGCTGGCATCATCAATAAATATTCAATTTGCCTTGATCTTTCTATTGTTTATAAAAAAACAGTGAAATATATTTACACAATAATGCCAAAAGTCCGCCGCAGCCGCAAATCACCACCAGAAGGATGGGAATTGATCGAACCTACCCTAGAAGAATTGGAACAAAAGATGCGAGAAGGTTTGATATTTTTGTTATGGTTCTTTAGCTAATACTTTTTAATGTACTTTACAAAGTATTAACAAATTATTTATATCCATAGCTGAAACTGAGCCACACGAGGGAAAGCGCAAACAAGAATCTCTATGGCCTATATTCAAAATTCACCATCAAAAATCAAGATATATATATGACCTCTTTTATAGAAGAAAGGCCATAAGCAGAGAACTTTATCAGTACTGTTTAGATGAGAAAATAGCTGATGCTAATCTTATAGCCAAGTGGAAGAAGACTGGTTATGAGAATTTATGTTGCCTGAGGTGTATACAAACTCGAGATACAAATTTTGCAACAAACTGCATTTGTCGTGTTCCAAAGAGCAAGTTGGAAGAAGGTAGGATTGTTGAGTGTGTGCATTGTGGATGCAGAGGATGTTCAGGATAGACTGTTTGAAAATGCTTTTGTTTAATGCATGTTATATGGTAAGAATGTTCATAATTAAGTTTGGCAATGTCAAAAAACAATTTAACATTTTTCAATGTTAATGCAAACTAAAACATTAAACGAATACACAAATAAATCTATCACTAAAAACTTTGCACTTCATATTTTACTTTGGAATTTTTTAAATATATTTTTGCCATCAAATTCCAAATTTCTAGTGATTTAAATAATCAATTACAAACATTGGAAAATGTTCAATAGTTTTTGAAAATTAACAGATAAATGCAACATTACCACACTTAGTTATGAATTGTTCTTAGGTTTATTTCAATATACATAATAGCTTTAAGATACTTGTAATATGGTGAGACAGACATTTTGGGTTTTTAAAAAATTAAGTACAGAGTTGTCCCCGTATCTATACGTTTCTAATGGCTTCTTTCATACATGATCTGTTATCTCTTGTAGGCGTTTAAAAATATGATGTGTGCTTATGAAACTTAACAATAAAATTTAAAAATCAGTTTATAGTAAATATCCATGTCTAAAATATGTCCAAATAAACTTGTAAGTTTTTAAATTCTGTGGTGAAACCTGTATATAAGTAAATTATTGTCAGTTTTTTTTTATTTCTGATGAAATAGTATATGTTAATTTAGGGTTTATTACTGCTATAAGTGCATTATAACAATAAACTTAGGTTAAAATTTCAATCATGTGCACTGCCATTGACTATAAGGCAGTTATACATTAAATATGATGCTAAAAAATTCAAATTCTTATATTTTTTATTGAAATCATATGAATACTATTTTTAGTTTACAAAATATGTATTTTTAATGGTTTCCAGATGCCAGTAAGTACAATTGACTTATAAAACAGTTGATATAATTCCATACAGAACAAAAAAAAAATTGTAATTATATATATAAATTCTTTTACAAAAATTCTCTCCTCTTGAATTTCTGTTAGATGACATTTTTCATTCTATGTGTCCCTTTTGCCTTTTAGTCAATGAACAGTATTAGTAATTTTGGATAAAAATATGATTTTGTAATATTAAATAGTTATTGCTGTATTTGAAAAAATATATGGCTGTATTCACCTGTCTTAGTTTTTGATTCCTTATATAAAAATCCCAGTCAAGCTCTATAGCATACATTTTATTAACAACTTTATTCATGAAAATGGTATAATTCTTATTAAATCCACAATAGTCAATGCTTAAGTAGCAAATTTCTTAAGTTGATAATAAAAAGCTTAAATAAAAGTCAAGATTATTTAAGGAAACTATTTAAATATGGCACAATATTTCTATTATTAAGTATTTATAACATTATGCATTTTTTGATTAAGTATCAAATTGATACCAACACAGCACCAACAAAGTCTTATAATTCTTTATTTCAACTACAAAAATGCCTTAAATCACAACCATGTTTTTTCTTAGGATAAATTATAATTACTATTGAAATACTTAAATTGTTAGTAGCAGATACATTAAAAAAATTACAATGACAAAAAAAAATGACAGCTTTGGATACATAATCATTATTGTAATTAGTAACAATGAAATTAAATAATATGTTAACTACTTATATTATACTTTCAAATTGCGAAAGGATTGTAGTTATTTTTTTATGAATCAGCATAAAAACATATTAATTTATAATTCAAATATTCATGGAAAGAAATAAAATTTAAAGCAATATAAGTACTTTAAAAATATTTTTAGTTCTCAAATAAGGATATTATAATTTTGCATTACGAAAATCAAATTAAAAAAGCAAAAAAATGATAAACTTAGGACACTTGTAATTTCTAAATTCCTAATTGCTATTATTGTTAAACATAACAAACTTAACTAATTTTTGTATTTCAAAACAAAAATGTTCTTTTAATCTTTAAAGATAAATTTTTGATGAAGACAAAATCAAGTACTCTTCAATCGTAATTATTTTAATATCAACAAAAGCTAAAGTGATCCTTGATTTTATAGAAATCGGATTAGGTTTTTTAAATGGATTTTATTATATTGACATCTTAATAGATATTTTTAAAGTATTTAGGTGTCAATATTTTTATAAATGGAAGCAACTTGTTCACTCACCGAGGTCCTTGCTTGCTTGGATTCTTTTAAATATAATGCATTATATTATAACAATTCTCCTGCTTTATAACACTGGATATCTTAATTTGGATCACAAATAGCACATTTAAACAGCAACATTAAACCACAAATGGTTTGTGGTCTAATTCCTTTGAAATCTCTAAAATCAATTCTTTATATATAATGGGGTTCATGTTTTTGCCCAACAAATAGAGTATAAACCAGTCACCATATCCGAAACGTTTAATTACTTTTGATATAGTTTTTCTGTTGGGATATCTTATTTGACCCATGACCATCAAGGTGCGTAGTGGTGGAACGGAGAAAACCAATAAGCGAAACAACACGGCTAGTGCAGAAATAAAAGCTAATATTATCAACCAAAACCAGAGAATAACAAATATTTTTTCATTAACAATATTTAGTGGGAGTACACATAGTCTATCTCTGAATTGCAGAGTGCCACTAGGTCCGTACTTCCTGAGCCAACATTTTGTTAGTTTCGGAAAGTATTGGTCCATAGGGTTGACGATATCGAAATCTATCATGTTCGCCGGAACGCGTGGCGTGTGAGTGAAAACGGCGACAGTGGCGCCATAATTGCGGAATGCGCCGCCCAGGAATACGTCCAGTAGGAATATTTGTCCAACCTGCAAATAATATATACAATAGCCATATAATACACAAAAAAAAATACACAGTTCCACATAGATAAATAAATTCGTGAATACAATATTACAATATTGGGGGGAAAGGGATTGTTAGTAATGGAGACTAAGAATCTCATAGCTAGCAATATACCCAACCAGGTCGACCTCCTGGCGGTTCCTTCTGGAAACCATCATGATTAATTCCAGATGAATTCATAATGATGGGCTTAGTGGCCTGTTTTCATCTTCATCGACCCGCCAGCGTATCCTGTTAGCGCAGGCGGGGTTACCATTCCATTTTCATCCAATAAATAATTTTATTTTGCAGGGATTGAAGCCCACAATCATTATACTAATACATAATCAAGTTAGAAATCAGTACTTCAAACCATATTAGAGACATTTCTATAACTAATATTTTTATATTTGGAAGCTTTAATATACTCAGTATTATTAAAAAAAAGTAAAGAATGTGTCTAACAAAATTACATATATATTATAATATTAGTAAAAATTTTTTTAGCAATGGATGATGAATAATTATCATCACCTTATTGGTGAACTTATGTTTTTTCTGCAAATTGTCACAAGGTGATGGATAGGTTGTAATTATGAACTGATATTATATGGAGATACTTAAAGAAACAAGACTTACCACATTAACAAGGTTGAGTATTTCACAAAAGGCATATCGGAGGGCATAGGCACTGTGCGTGTATATGTTTGTGTAGGTCAGGTAAGAAATCAACTGCCCCCGTCGGCACTCTAACCAATCCTGGGACACAATTGGACCGCCTAAACAAACACAAGAATATAATTGGCTCATCTTACTAATATAATTTTTTTGTGATTTGAAAATAGTTATTATATCGCTGGTATGCGCAATAATTAAATTAAACAGTAAATAAATCTTACAAATTGTATGTAATCTCTATGTAAGTAAAAGAGTATGTCTGAATGAACTAAACTCTAGAATTACCAGAGGGATTTGAAAAATAAAATATTCAACATCACATTAGACCAGAGACAAAGCCGTGTGATATAATTAGTTGATTATAATTTATAGTATTCATATTTCATATTAGAGATGAGATACTATACTTAAATCTGCAGCTAGTGCCTTCAATCTTCCACCTTCCCAGATCTTCCAGATATAGCGAGGAATGTAAAACATGACTGCCTGACCGAGGAGCACAAAGCACACCCACTGATAGTAAGTATGCTTGATCTGTTCATCATTTTCTGTTGGTGGGCCTACTCCTAAGTAAGCAATACCTTCTTCGCCTGGAATCAAAGTAATAAATAAATAAATAAGAAATAATTGAAATTGCAATTGAACATTCAAAATAAAAAAAAAATTAAAACAAAAGTTTGTAACTACACATTACATAGATAGCTTGTATATTTTTTTTTATACCAGTAAGAATGACAAACATGCTGATGACTCTCCTGATGATGAGTGGTACTAGGCACCACTTCTTCTATCATGGTATATTACAAATAGGATATCATTCTGAATTGGAAGGTATATCATTAGGTTTTAATTAATAGGAGTCCAGCAGTATTTCACATGCCTTAAGTAATGTGACTATATAATGCATTTTCCTAATGTAACTTACCTATGTACATGAACCATTTATAGATATCACTTATAGAAAATGTATACTTTAACATCTACCTATTCAAGGGACCCATGCATTGTTACTACTAAGAAGTAGGTCTGTGTCTATTATATTGCTTATATTATCTATTAATTCATAGTTTGCATACATTCATCATACATTTTAGTCCTTTATAAAACTGGGGAGATTAGAGGGTGGTAGTAAAGTTCAGACAGTTTTTTAATACAATTATATAAATAAATATTTAAGTAAATAATGGAATATTTCATTAAACTTTTAAAAAAGATTGTTAATAAAATAAGGTATGTTGTGCATAGTTTCAATAACAGCTTGTTCATTTTGCAATAATATTTTTGTACCAACCCCTTCAAATGTTCAAATGTAAATGTGTAACACAATTAATTGTACAATGAATATATACTGCATCTACCTAATAATAAAATATAAATAAATTTGTTATAGAAGACAGTGGATACCAAAAGAAAGAATATAAATAAGTCGGTTGTTATTATGCAATTAAAATTTTTGTTATTATACCTAAAATAATTCATCACTCATCTAATAAGAGATGAAACTGATTAATCGACATAAACAGAACAGAGCAGTCTGAAATTTTGTTTAGTTTTTAATTTTTACTGGATCGTAATACCATAATCCATGCGAGGGAACCCGTAGGAACACACGTAAATGTATTAAATATAATTTCTAAATAGTTTAATAAGATATATCGTCCGCACTCGTACCCACTGTCTGATATAATAAGACCAGCGAATATTGTAGTCATAGTAATGAGTTATATGGCCTCACCTTTAAGTTTACTCCTCAGCGTGTATGTACCGTAAATCCAGCAGTAACTGTTCACTGCATCCGCATCGGTGTCTTTTTCGCCATTATTCATGCAGTGTATCGGCTCCCCAAAGAACTGCTTTGAAGTGACTAGTAACGTAAACACTAACAACATAATTACGGTCACTTTGTAATGCATACGAAACACATTATTGTCCGTGCTAACGTTGTCGAATTTGAGAAATGCCCTAAATCGCATAAAAAGGTCTATCATTTTTATTGCACGTTTTGCACGTTCAGCTGCCTTAGAGAAAAATTGTAGAAATTTCTATAACTACCCCCCCAAACACTACAATATATTTGAATCGACGGACAAGAAAAAAATATGAAGGGAACGGACATGTCAGAAATTTAAAATATCAAATTTTTTATTTCTGACATCCGAACTATTAACCAATCAAAACAAGAGGAAAGAAATATTTGTCTGTGATAAATAACTTCCGGTTCTTACAAACTGTTGTATATTTTGAGTTAAACTATAAAATAGATTATTTTAAAAATGTATTTTTTTTTTTATTTAAAATGTAATAATGCCTTACATAAAAGCGATTTGTCACATTTTATTTATTTACTAATAATTAGATGTAATCCAAGTAAATTAAAAAGGAATTAATAAATTAAAAGTATTTTGTATGTTCACATGTAGGATGTGGCCAATGTGTGCTAATGAAGTTTATCTATACTTATAATAAATCTGTAGAGTGGTCAATTCTGTAGATGAAATATATTTCCAAAATAACTATCAGGAGGTGATTAGTGATCGATACTGATGCCAAAAATGCCATCAGTATAATTTTTGTCTGTTTGTTCGTTATAGAAACAAAAACTACTCGACAGATTTTAAAGAAACTTGGTACAATTATTCTTCATATTACTTGGCAGTTTATAGTATACTTTTCATTACGCTACTTTGCATCACGAAACAAATATTTCATATTTTGTGACAAGAAATATAATATATATACGACATTATTACAAGTTTTGACTCATAATATCAAAGTAGTATAATTAGTTTTGATTTAATAAAAATTAGTATTTACTGAGAAGTCTTATGGCAATTGAATAACTATTTAACATACGGTCTGTAGTAAAAGTGTACTGATTTATTCAAGCATGATAACAAGATAATAGCTAAAACAAACATTTAATTTTAAAGAATTTTATAAATATTACATGGAAATATTGTTATCTCATGCATGACGCTTTAAGGAAAGCTTTAAGCTTCATGAAAATTAGTTATTAAAATTTTGCATTTTACACATTTACATGAAATAAAACTAACAAGGATTTTTAAATAATATATATTTTAATCTATAACCAATTGAAATAATTTCAATGCATATAATAAAAATTATTCTACATAGTAAAATTAAAAGGAATGTTTACGTTAACACAATTTTTAACCAATTAAACTTAACCAAAAATTGAGCAATATAAATCGTGTCTGGATTATAAAATATGTTAGTACAAGTTAATTATTATATATACTTGGTGGCTTTGTCTTATATATTTTTTTATATAAACATATACTTATTTCTACCACAAAATAAAAGGAGGTGCTTCATTTTTTATGAGACGTCAGTGTATAAAAATACGATACAATACAAAAACAAATCTTATTTACTCAGTTGTGATTGCTAATAAGATATTACAGAGAACTGAGCTGTCTTTAAAATAAAAATAAAAAAATTATGTAACGCACTTAGTTTCAGAAATAATGATTATGACAGAAAGTTAAAATACGGTGGTATTATAATAATTATAATGTGAGGTCGATTCTTTTAAGAAATCTTATTTTATTTTTTATTACGAATGAGTTTCTTAAAGCAGTAAATTTTCAAGCCTGTTAATAATATAAATAAAGTTTAAAATAAAATATTTACAGTTTCATAGTTTTCTGATAAATTTTACATCTTATTTATTTTACTGAAATAAAATATTAATAATTTTCAGCAGCCATAATTTTTGTGTTTTATTACAAAACTGTAATATTGCATTGCAGTTAAAACTGGAATGTTGAATTATCTATGTGTAAAAAATACATAAGTACTTAATTTCTCAGTATAAAATTTTACATCTATAATTTACTTTTTATACCAATATCTTCTTGATCTCCATCATATTCATCTAAGGCCATGTTTCTTAATGCAAAAATATTGTCAGGATCTAGCGCTCTCTTTGCAGCCAAGAGTAACTGTCGACCTGGTTCGCTTACCGTATCTGTGTACCATTTTTTTCGCAATTTTCCGACACCGTGATGATGTGATATCGAACCTATAAAAAAAAAGAACACTTAAAAAAAGATTCATGTCAATGAAAATTTTCTAATTCGTTTTTCAATTATATATTTATCGACTTATTGCATAAAATCTTTGTCTTATATCATTGAAGAATGTTATTAATTTAGTTGATACATATTTTCATTTTAGACGTTAAATCCGTTGCTAAAAATATGTCTTCCCAGTATATTACTGAATCACTTGTATTATATATATTAAGTTCTTAAGCCTTCTTCATGGTTTTAGTTTTTAGTGACTAAACATATAATTAAAAGTTAAAATAGGCTATAGTTTTTATAGGACGGTTAGAAATTTGTTAATTTTTAAGATACATTCTTTTGTATCGAGGTTAATCATTGTCTATTCCCTTATCAGTTTTTTATGGCGCCAAAATTCTAATCTCTGATTGGTCTTCTATTTGACACTTACCACCGGAAGCAATGATCTCGTCTCGTGCTGCCTCCTCTATTTCTTCATAGGTTGCTACAGGGTCAATGAACTTTTCCGAATTGTGTGCAAAATAGAAATATATACAGCATCCAGCGTCATAGCTGAAAAATTTATTTATTTTAAAGAAAATTACGTACTTTTTACAGGTGATATACAATGATGGTTTCTAGGAAGACCGCGGGGTGGTCGATCTGGCAGGGTATATTGCTAGCAATGACCGTTAACCCTTATGTCTAACAATTCCTTTTCACAGTTGTAATATTAAGGTAGAGATAGATTTTTTGCCAAGAAGAGTACAATTTTTTTTCGCTTTGATAAGATTGGGCAGTGCAGCAAGCAGTTCCGGGGGGAAAGGGAAAACCATCTTATTTATTTCTTCATGATTTCGTTACTATGGGCCAATTGACCTGCCTTTTCATCCTCACCTATCATTTTTTTTATACAACGTAGGATGACAAACAAGCTGACGGCCCACCTGATGGAAAGTGGTAACCGTCGCCTATAGACATGAGCAGTACCATGGACATTACAGAGTATAATGTTTCGTCAACAATATCTGAGGAGTCCCATTCCTGAGGACTCAGGTGTCATTTCTCTGTATCCTGTAAATTCACTGCCATATCCCACCCTTCAAACCGAAACACAGCATGCAAACGAAACTGCTTCACGGTAGAAACACGAATGAGACAGAGGTACCCAAGCAAACGACTTTTGTACCGTCTCCCCCCTCTGGTATCATCCCTCACTGGTACTCAGCATATACCGCTATCGCGGGCGGGGTTACTGTTTCATTAAATTACTACTTACGTTTGCGTGAGGCGGCACGAGATGAGATAGTGTTGTATGCCGCGGGCGGCGCACTCGTCGCGGATGCGGCGCTTCACGCGGCTGCAGAGCGCGGCGGTGCGGTCCCACGGCACTGACGTCTCGAACGACTCCGCCACTATGCCATATTCCATAGCTACATCCTGCCATAGATAATTTTTTTTTGTTTTTTACAATATGGCAAACAAGCGTACGGATCGTCTGATGGTAAACGGTCACTGTAGCCTATGGACGCCGGGAGAAAGGAATTGTTAGTAATGGAGACAAAGAATTCCATTGCCAGCTATATACCTAATTAGGTCGACCTCCACGCGGTTCCCCCTGGAAACTATCATGGTTAATTCATCAAAAAAAAATGGATATTGGATCGGTATCCATATTACACATGCCTACGATAAGATATCTGAGACTATATACTTGCATATTTACCTCTTAATTAATAAAAAACGTCAAATCTCTCAAATATATCATCTATATTTTAGCTATTGCTTTGTTCTTTTCTTTAAGCATACATTTCTCAAGTTGAAATACAGTGACAAAACACTTTAATAGTTAAAAAAGGTTTGTAGTACATTTTAGTTTTTATGAATAAGGTTTCATTATTCTATTTTCCTATATACAGCAAAGGAAAATGAATTGTCGAAAAAATCTTAACTTAGATTATATAGATAGTGCATCGAGTCTTTAAAACCGGTCAACTTTTTATCATAATGTATCTTGACGTATCTATATTTAATTATTTAATAAAAAAAAAAAGTTTCTACGCATTAAAAAGATGCAAAACTTATAAAACAAAATAAATATAGTTTATTAATATATTCAAAAAAGTTGACCCGCCTTTCTCGAAGCATTTGTATGGAGACACTCTATTTAAGTTTAAAAATCAATAATATCCTTTGCTTTTTTCTTAATTACTTTGTTTTGTAGATCGAAGCACTAAAACTTACCCTAAGATAAGCGATGACGAAGGTTAGCGTGTACCCTCTTTCACCGTTCTCAGCGCCTGCCGGTATCCCTCCGAACTGCGCTGCTATGCTGTTGAGCTTCTTCTCCCTCTCGGCGACGTCCTCCGCTGTGCCCTCCATCAGTAACGTCACCACACACAGCTTCGTCGGGTCGAAGCCTTTGATGCGAGTGATGTAGATTCTCTTCAGGCCATCAAGAAAGACCCCTCCCCACGATGATTCCGTTTTTAGTGCTTGCCCAAACCGAAACTGTAAATATCAAGTTATTACCATTTATTATATAAGTCAATATATCAGATAGAGGGGAAGGGGATTGTTAGCAATGGAATTTGACAGGCCCATTGCTAGCAATATGTCCTATTAGGTCGACCTTCACGTGGTTCCCCCTGGAAACCATCGTGATCAATTCTTGTTGAATTCGTCACGAAGCGCTAACTGACCTGCTTCATCCTCATCTATCATCGCTCACTAGTGCCTCGTCAGTGTATACCGATAGCGCAGGCGGGGTTACCATTCCATTATCTAGGTGATAATGGATTTTTTTATACAACTTAGAATGACAAACAAGCTGACGGTCCACCTGATGGAAAGTGGTAACCGTCGCCTATTGACATGAGCAGTACCGTGAACAAAACAGAGTATACTGTTTCGGCCATGATACCCCTCATGCGTTGCCATTCCTGAGGACTCAGGTGTTATTCCTCTGTATCCTGTAAATACAGTATAATAAAGGGATAAAGAAGTTCCTTCAGGGTCGACAACGCTCGCTTAATGTCCCTGGTATTGCAAGCGTTCATAGGCTACGGTAACCAATTATCATCAGGTGAGCCGTATACTTGTTTGCCACATCAGTGGTATAAAAAAAAACGATAAAAAATATGTTCATAATTATGATAACCTAACGGAGTAGTCAAAGTAGTATATACTTGTAATACAAACATTTTTATAAATTGTATATTTATAATATTGGTACAATTATATCTAGGTATGTAGATATAATTTGAAAAACCTTTAGAAAAATCTTTGCAAAACGGCTACCCTCTAATACATAAAAACGTTGAACGTGTCATAAACCCTATTTTAGTTGTTGAAGTATTTTGTCCTTTTCTTGTGCTGAATTTCCCTGAAAGAAAGTGACAAAGCTCTGACACTCTAATAGTTATAAGAAGGTTTGAAATCGACCTTAGGTTACAGTTAGACGAGTCATACGCTCACGTTTACTACCTTTGTCGTGTAAGTAAAAAAAAAAAATTAAATTGAATTTATACTGACTTGCTCGTTATCCATAAGCCGTATACTGGATGGCTGGAGTCGTTGCCTGGCAACCTCGCGCTCGAACTGGACCCCAGAGTCCCAGTCGGGGAAAACCAGTGACCCATACTGGACTACAGGCGGTAGTGGACGGATTTTTAATGTCACCTGCAGACGAAAAATAAAAGGTTTTTTTTTATTTGTATAAAAAAATAAACATATTTATGTAAGTATTCCATCCTATTTGTAAGACTGAGATAAAGGTCTGTCTGTAAGAGATTACCTTAGCGCAGGGGTCGGCAACCTGCGGCTAGCGAGCCACATGCGGCTCTTTGGATGTGAATCTGCGGTTCTTTAATTCCATACACAAATATGACAAATTTTATAAAAAAAAAAAAAAAACATCTGAATCGATTAACGAGGATTAGATATCAAACTTTATTTATGCAAGCACTATTTATTGTTGCCACGAATTTTTAAAAAACTTAGAAATTTTGCAAATTATAATTTTGACTCTTCCGACTCAAATGGTCATTGATATCTGACCTAGCGATATGACCGCTTTTTGTATATATTTATATTAATAATTATTATTTATATTTTTAACTGTATTTTATGCTACAGTAATTCAACTAAATTTTCTGATTGTCATTGTAGGTATATATTTTTTTGTTTTCGGTACATTAAAGAGTTATATAATAATAAATAAATAAGTTTCCGTGTGGCCCTGATATAGAAAAAGCCATCCCTTCCATCCTTTCCCGTGAGTATCGTAAAAGGCGATTAAGAAGGGGAGGGGGGAGGGATGGGCAGCAGCGTCTCTCTGAAAACATCTCCAAAGCCTAACTGCGGTTGCCAATCCGCCTGCCTAGCGTGGCAACTATTGGCAAACCACGATAAGAGGAGGCTTATGTTCAGTAGTGGACAAAGGTTGATATGATACGAGTATGATGAAAAAAATAAGACGACTTACAATATCCTGGTATATAACTCCAAATAAAACCGTATACCAAGCTCGTTTGCTCAGTATGGTAAATGCAGGCTAGAATTTTTGTTTTGGGCGAGATCTAGGTTCTATCTTTCAATAGGATTTTCCTCCAGAAAAGTATTAGACACTTCAATTATAACAAATATAGACTAAACGACTCAATCGATCACAAAAATAATCAATAAAATCAAGCCAAAATTGTACAACGGATTGTGCTCAGAGGAATGATTCTTTACCTTCTATCATCGTACGGCTCGCCATCAACAGGGAGTTCACCCTTATACCTTACAGCCTAAATGGTTGCGTACAACGCGGTTTCAGAGATGTTTTCTCCCACGAACACTCAGGTTATGAAATGAGCTCCCTGCCGAGGTTTTCCCAAGAGACTACAGCATGGGGTTCTTCAAAAGGGGGGTAAAGAAGTTTCTTTAGGGTCGGCAACGCGTGCGTTATATATACCTTTGGTATTGCAGGCGTTCATAGGTTACGGTAACCGCTTACCATCAGGTGGGGCGTATGCTTGTTTGCCATCTCAGTGGTAAAAAAAAAAACATTTAAAAATATTGCTCAATCCATTTATTGCGCATTGAAAATATTAATTTTACCTCAGTGACGACACCCAGGCAGCCTTCAGATCCCATCACAATGTGTTCAAACTCTGGACCGCACGAAATTCTTGGTACTCTGCAACTCTTTTCCAAAACACCGCGGGCTGTCACCACCTGAGATGAATTGAATAATTCTAAGATTTCCTATTTGTATGCAAAAACTTAGTAACTTCTAATAGGAATTCTGTATAGTAAACGAGCATATGGCTCAATTAATGGTTACCCAGAGGCACCTGCAACATCAGAGAAATTGCAGGCGTATTGTCGGCCTTTTAGGAGGAAATATGCTCTTTCTTGAAGTTTTCAACGTCGTAACTGTTCAGAAATACTGCTGCTGGAAGTTGGTTCCATAATTTGATTGTGCGTTCAAGAAAGTGTATACAGACATGCACTGTGAGGGGCTGCCACTTATCCAGAGTAGCTTGAACGGTGATGAAATTTAGTAGTGGGTATCAATCTGAATTTCTTACACATTTACCCTAATTCTAACGTTTATTAGCAAGTTAGCTCGCATAGAATTTAGGAATACTACGTAAAAATAGGTTTTAAACTACAGGATTACCACTGGTAACAATACAGCAACTATACTGTTATACTACTATTTAACCGACTTCAAAAAGGAAGAGATTCTCAATTTGATTTTTATGTTTGTTACCTCAGAACTCGGTGATTTATAAATGGAAATGGGACATTTTTTTGTTCTTGAACTTTCAGACTGGTCCTATAGAAATTTTATCAAAATCGGTTCAGTAGTTTAGATTTAAAAATAAAATAATTCATTTTATCACTATTTAAGTCAGTGTTTTTTTGTAGAACATTATTTTCAGTTATCTTCTTTATTATCAATATTTATTATACGACATCGCAATCTTAAAAAAAAAGAGAATATTTCTTTTTAAAAAGCCGCCAGTAAACCTGCAATGACTCTGGTGTTGCGAGTGCTCATGGGTTGCGGTAGTCACTTACCATCAAATGAGCCGCATCCTCAATGTTCTCTGTATTATAAAAAAATCTTACAATAAAGCTATTCATGGTAGCTCAATCTAAAATTCACCTTCTAGATCAGATCTGAATAATGTTAAAGTCTAATCAATCATACATACATACATACATATATTATACATATATCTGTCACACCTGCCATTAGCGTGGGCAGAAACAATGGAACGCCAAATGCTTGCATGCTAATCAATAAATCATATAAGACATAACCTTTTTACTTGTAAAAATATGAAAACCCCATATACATTATTCTTGATCATTCGATTTGTTATATACTTTACTTACAGACATACACACAGAGAGAAAAATCGATAGGCAGATAGAAAAAAAAAAAACTTTCCAATGATATTACTCAGTTTCTATTCATACTGAGAGTGGATCAACTTACTTTAGTCTGAACAATAAGATCCTCGATGTTTCCATATGTGTTCTTCTTCATGCCGCTGGCTCTGGTCGCCACCCAACCTCCAAGAGTTGAGAACTCATACGAGTCAGGCTCGTGGCCAACCGTGAATCCACGTGCTCGCATCTCTCGCTCCAAATCCTGGCCGATAATACCAGCCTGCAATGGGTACATAAGGGTTATAAGTGTCAGACTATTGATCACTATATTGATCACCTGGTCTTCATGTTATGATACATCAAGCAACGAAGATCACACAATTCAATACCAGAGCGAGACTTAGTAAAAACAGTCATTTGCTTGGATACCTCTGTCCCATTCGTGTTCCTACCGTGAAGCAGTTTTGTTTACATGGCTGTGTTTCGGTTTGAAGACTGGAATATGGCAGTGAATTTATAGGGTACAGAGGAATAACACTTGAATCCTCAGGAATGGCAACGCATGGGGGTTATCATGGGCGAAACAATATACTCTGTTATGTCCATGGTACTACTCATGTTTGTAAGCGACGATTACCACTTTTCATCAGGTGGGCCGTCAGCTTGTTTGCCATTTTAAGACGCGTAAAAAACATATCCCAATGTACTGCAATTACAGGTTTCGGAGACATGACACCATAGTAATCAGGAATGACAACGTATGTATTTTGTTGTACTATTTATATCTATAGGCGACGGTTAGCATTTTCCATTAGGTAGACGGTCAGCTTCTTGGTCATTTCAAATATGATAAAAACAAGTCTGTTTAAAACAATTTTTTTAAACAAGTTTTTATAGAATTCAGGCTTTATCATCACATTGTGGGCACCACACAGGGTTATATGTAGTTTTTGTCTAGACAAACCAAACGCGACGCAGTTATAATGTTTTCACGACGCCCTATGACAATCTTTCATCATCATTATTAGATGAGCTCGATGGTACCATATACGATTAATTTGGTATTGTTACCAAACTTACGTATGCAAAATTTCAGCACAATCGGACGCTAGCGAGTGGTTAAAAAATAAATTGTAAATCTTTAAAGAAAATACACACTATAACATGTTAAATAAAAGCTTGTAAAAAAGAAACTGTATTAGATACCTGGACTCTAGCCAGTAGCTGTTCTTTGTCCAGCCACAGTATGGAGTTCATATCGCTTGTGTCCAGTACGACTATGGGCCGTTGCTCTTTGGGTGGGCAGGTCACTGCGCCGGACACCGAAGTGCCACCGCCAAATGGAATTATTACAAAACCATGTTTCGATGCGCATTTTACTATTTGTTCCACCTGTAAATTTAAAAAATTATATTATCAATACCATTACAATCACACACACACGAGAGAATATACTAGAGAGAGAAAATACTATCATGATTTTAGAGGAGAGAAGAAGAGGAATACTAACTCTACATAATGACCTACATAAGAAGTTTAGAAGACAGTCAGATAAAAGTATGATGCTGTTAACTTGGGGGTAGTCGCTTTCGGTGATGATTCCGAGGTATAGGGCTTCACCCCGCCTCCACCTGAGTCTTCCTGAAGTAAAACTTGAGAAGATCTGCATCAGTTACGATCCAGATATTGATTTTAATAGATGTCGCAGCCGCAAGTACTTTATCTATCGGTTTTTTCCTTTAAATTAGATTCAATAAAGCTTAATTTCGGTGCATTATACTCTGTTGAACCTTTTGGTCTCTGTACGGAGTACTACAAAAAAAATTATGTAAAAAAAAATTATAGTATTGACAAAACAATTTTAATACGAATAGTTTAAGCAGTGACGCACTTATTTTTCACATAAACTGAGGTACTTGCAGTGTCAATCTCTATGGCAGTATTATGGTTAACATCGTGCTTTTGAAATATTTTTATTAAAACGAATTCAACTTTGATGCAACCATAAGAATTACTACTATGTACAAGTGACGATCTCGCCAAATCAATAATACGAGTATACATTGCAAACACTGGCTGAACCCCACGAGATAAATCAAAATAACAGTATTGCACACGTGCGAAGCCGGGGCGGGTCGCTAGTATATCAATATAAAGAATATTAAAGTAAAATTTTGGGCGTTTGATACTGTCAGCTTCAATGATTCGATGATTCCATTATTCCCTTTTAAGTTACGGAACCATAAAGACAAAGAAATCGTTCAAATCAATTATGTAAAGAAACCTCGCACATTGGCGTCACTCCGTCATGATTGAAGTACTTGCCCATTCCTAAATAAGTATTGATAATTATTTTAGATACTATAATAGATCTTGTCAACTTCACACTTGTATGGGAATTGTGTAATATGTAAGTTAACTGTTTACTCGACCTTATAAAGTTAGACGCAGTTACTGCTAAGTAGCTACCATCGACTACGTCATGTCCCTACAATTAATGTTTACTGTAACAGCCGACAACTGTCCACTCATAAACATAGCCTATCCCATAAGAGAGAGTTTTGCCAGTGCTTACCACGCTTGGCAGGAGCGATTTTTTTTTGATGGATGAAAATGGTATGGTAACCCCGCCTGCGCTAACGGGATACGCTGGCGGAGTACCAGTGAAGGGTAATAGATGAGAATGAAAACAGACCAGTTAGCCCATCATGATGTTCATCAGGAATTAACCATGATAGTTTCCAGGGAGAACCGCGAGGAGTTCGACCTGGTTGGGTATATTGGTAGCAATGGGATTCTCAGTTTCCATTACTAACAATCCCTTTCCCCCCGCCATTCTAAGTTGGATAAAAAAAAACCAACGTTGTCAATTCTAAGTGAAATCATCACGATGGGCTAACTAACTTGCCTTTTCATCATCTGTCATTATTCACTGGTGCCCCGCCATCATATACCGTTAGCGCCGGCGGGGTTGCCATACCACTGTGATCTATTAAAAAAATTCGTCGACCATTAAGTTCCCTTTGCCACCTCTTACACCCATGTGAAAGGAATGAATCTATGCAGAGACCACACGGCGATGATGCATGCAAGATGGATTGTAAATAATGCATTGTGATAATATCGACGTCAATTAAACATATGTGTTAAGTAACCATTTTATACGCAGTTAGTTGCAAACTTTTTATGCAATACGGAAGAGATTCTACATTTTTTTATTTGAAAAATACACAAACGCTACTTTACAGTTTTGAGACGGTCAAATATTTGACATATAAATTTATACTGTACATACTTCTTTTTATTTTACTTTGATTCTGTGAATACAGTTACTGTGATAATAGCGATTTGAAATAAAGGGAGAACACATCTAAATATAATTTGAAAATTGCGGTGCCCCTATGGGGTGTCACGTGTCTTATTATTTCAGCCGTTAACTGTCCACTGCTGAACATAAGCCTTCCCCATAAGGGGAATTTTGCCAGTAGTTGCCATACTTGGCAGGCAGGTTGGCAACTTGGCATGCTAATAAATATAAATAAATAAATAATTCAGAAAAATATAAATGGAAACAAATTGTAGTATGTAGTTTCATCATCATGATCATCATATCAGCCGTCAAAAGTTCACTGCTGAACATGGTCTATGGTATGCTATGTTCACCCATAGACTGCCTTAAGGAGCAGTGCTAAGTTATTTCGATCCACTGACCTCCTGCAATGCATTCGAACAACTTGAAACTTTTGCATACGGCCAAACATATAGGATAATGTTTCGGTTCTGTAAGTCATCCATGACAATACGCACTAGTTAAAGATCTTTTCAAATCTTTTCTTTTTTTAAAGATCGCTTCAAACTCTGAGGTATTTTGGATGAGAAAATGTGGCGTAGTTTTCTGAACGTCGCACAGCCGATTTGGTCTCGTTGGTTTGATGGTTGATCAACTAAATATTTTATTGACAGAAAAAAACCTCCTGGTGTTTGAAGTTGGTTGAATAAGTAATCCGTCTCTCGCTTACCTGTTCATGACTCTCGGGCCAGATGACCGCATCAGGGATCCTTGGAAACTTGTTGCCTCTTAGATCCGATATATCTTTCAAGGTTTGCCCGTGTGCCCTAATTAGTCGGTCCATCCCATCGACGCTGACCGAAGCGATCCCTTCTAATTCCTGTCTAATGTCAGCAGGCAACCGTGTCTCGGGAAACGAGGTGGGCATTTCTGGTATTTTAGGTGGTTTCTTTAAATCCACCTTGAAGTTTTCGTATGCCCAGTTTTGCAGATGAGGTAGACTTTTCCCGGCGATGAGGTACCTGATAATAAATTGACTTATATAAGAAATAATTGAAGATTCCTAAAAAAGACTTCATTTGTATCAAAAACAGATATTTTGATTTTAAAATGAAACTACTAAACAGATGTTGATTACATTTGTATGCCATCAATTTGTAAATATAACCTTTCAGATAAAAAAAAAATAATTTTCCAAAACGGTTTAGAATTAAAGGAGTTATGAGGTAAACAACGCTTTGTTTCGAAATTGGTTAAAAAAAAACCTACTGCAGTCAAGACAGAAACGGTCAATCACTCAAAAGTATTTTGTTTTATAATTACGTATATTATTGTCTATTATTACTTTTTTGTCTATTTTGTTTTAAAATTCGAGACAGAAAAAAAATTGTTTACAACTTTTTTGTGTACACTGTCTACGACTTTGTCTGCGACTTTGATTTTACCTGTATCCTATAAATTTAAATAGTACTATAGAGTTTATAGTATAGACGATAGACGCAGCACGATTCCTATTTCATTGCATTTGTAAATAGTCGACAATATGAAATAATATGTATGTGTAGTGTGTACCTATTTATCTGTCTTACATATTATATTATTTATTTCTAGTCTTAAAATAGGTAAAGCAAAGTCGCTATTCGCGTTTGTTCGTTTTTTCGTTTATTCCGATATTGAGTTTAACTGACATTTAAATATTTTTTACGGAAGATTCCTATGCACAATATATCCTAATTAAACATTTGACTTATTAAAAAATATCAATGTTGTGTAATAAGTGTGTTTAGAAAAAATATTTGTTTTCATCAGGTGTACACCCATAGGGGGGAATCAACTATTACTAATGGGGATGTTAGTCCCAATTGTTATCAATATACTCTATCAGGTCAACCTCCACGCGGTTACCCCTGAAAACCATCGTGACTTATTTATCGTTGAATTCGTCACGGTGGCCTAACTGACCTGCCTTTTCATCCTCATCAATCATTCCTCACTGGTGCCCCGCCTGTGTATACTGATAGTGCAGGCGGGTTTTTTTTTTATGGATATTAATGGAATGGTAACCCCAACTGCGCTATTGGTATACGTTAGCGGGGCACCAGTGAGAGATGATATGTGACGATGAAAGCAGGTCAGTTAGCCCATCGTGACGAATTCCACTAGAATTAATCACGATGGTTTCCAGGGAAAACCACGTGGAGGTCGACCTGATAGGGTGTATTGCTAGCAATGGGTTCATTAGACCCCATTACTAACAATCCCTTTCCCCTCCTTGCAGGCTCCTCCTATTATTCCATTATCATCCATTAAAAAAAAACTATCTACTTATAGTACAAGTTCTGATTAGTTACCAGCGCCATCTAGTCTCAAATGGCATTGCTAAACAAGTAAAACAATATAGCACTTGTGCGTAGTCAGGGCGGATTGCTAGTTGGTAATAAGTAGTTGTCACAATGATCTGTCGCAATTGCGTCACAATTGTTTGTTTTGTATGAATGGTAAATATGTAAACATTTATGTATGAACGCACGCGTGCAACAATGTTTTAGGCGTGGCTATGTCATATTACATATATCCTACCAGTATTTTAGTGGTAATAAAATACTGGCCGGTAATTTTATATTATGATTTAAACATACATGTGGCACGTTCATTTATTTACAGTGACTTTCATTGTAAAATAAAATCATTACATAGAATTTCGTTTCATAGATCGACGCTTAATCGCCAGCATCTTCTAACTAACATGGAGAAAAATTATAAGAAACATTGAAACCATTCTAATTCTGAATTTACTTCAAATTAAATAATTTTCTATACAACTTAGAATGGCAAACAAACAAGCTGACGGCCCACCTGACGGAAAGTGGCAACCGTCGCCTATAGACATAAGCAATACCATGGACATAACAGAGTATATTGTTTCGCCCATGATACTCCTTATACGTTGCCATTCCTGAGGACTCAGGAGTTATTCCTCTGTACCCTGTAAATTCACGCCATATCCCCCCTCCAAACCGAAACACAGCTATGCAAACACAACTGCTTCACGGCTGAAACACAAATGGGAGAGGTGTCCAAGTAAACGACTTTTGTACAAAGTCTCCCTGTGGTAAATAAGATATAACCAAGTTGTTGCCGTGTCGATCCGGCATAGAATAGGCCGCTTCTTTCTTTTTTGTGAGTGTTGTAAAAGGCGACTGAGGGAACTTAATGTGTCGAGGGACGGGCAGTGGTGCCCCCCTCGAAATATCATCAAAGCTTAATTGCGGTTGCCAAGCCGTCTGTCAATCGTGTCAATTACTGACAAAACTCCCTTTTTTGGGGAGGCCTATGTTCAGCAGTGGACAGTAAGCTGATATGGTGAATAATATTATATAACTGAAAATCTTTCTATCTATCTATTCTATTTAAGAGCTGCGCTCTTGTCGGTGGAGCTCTTGCTACTCACTACGATTTTCAACGGGTCTCTTCACCTCTTGATACGACACAACACCAACTCCTTCCTTGATCTGCCTGATGTAACTATGTCTCGGTCTCCCTTTCCCCCTCCTTCCTTCTATTTTACCTACTGAAAATCTTTAGACACTAATAATACATTACAAAAATAAAAACAATGGATGTTTTTATTTTTAAAAATGCTAATAATTAAATTAACCTTTTAACCTTCCAGTCAGACTTATCTGACGCAGAAGAAACAGTTTTTTTTTGTTTTTTCCTCCCGTTTGTTTATTCAACATGCCATTGGTGTCTGAAGCACCTATGTATCTTTAAAACTAATATTTCAATTACTAATAATCAATACAGCGAAATGATAATTCTAAGGGTCACTATAATTATGACCTATATTTATTATATATAATAAATATAGATATATTATAAACTATATTTTTAGTAAAAACAATTTCACATTTAACACTCAATAAAACTATCGAATTAAATTGTAATTATAAGGATAAATTTAAAAAAGTTATCTCGGAGTCGTCCCCGTTGTCAAGAATACATACATACAGTTTTAACCAACTATTTACAGTAACCCCCTTATTCAAAAAACCAAATTATACTACAAATTTATTTTAACTATTATAGTGTTTTGTTACTGTCTTGCAAATTGAGAAATAAATATAAAAGAAAAGGACAAAATACTTAAATAGCTAAAACAGATTTATGAGAAGTTTCATGAATAAGAGGCGTTACTGTATAAAGTTAGCGATAGGAGTCATGCGGTCAAAACTCTATTCCATTTTATTACTGTCTCTGGATTTATAGTTGTGAGTATATTTATTTTATTTATAATTAGGTCCGTGACGTCATACGGTCAGATGGCGTCAAACGACACATTACGTGTTCCTACAGAATTAGCGGAAATGCCAATTCGTAGCACTGCGATGCGCCTACACCGGTGAAATACTCCTAATAGAATGAGCTCTCATTGCAGCAAGTATTTTACAAAATAGGGATACGTCACACCGCATACGTTATCTATACTTTTATTATCAAAGTAATTAACTGTACATAAAAATAAAACACATGCTATAGAAAACTTTAAGAGAGAATCTCAGTGACAGAGAGTGAGAATGATCAGTCGTTATCTGTCCACTGCTGAACATAAGTTTTTTTTTACAACACAGGTGGCAAACGAGCATGCGGCTCATCTGATGGTAAGTGACTACCGCCGCCCATGGTTACCCACAAAACCAACGGCTTTGCAGGTGTGCTGCTGGCCTTTTAAAAAGGAATATGCTCTTTTCTTGAAGGTTATGTTGTCGTATCGGTTCGGAAATACTGCTACTGGAAGTTGATTCCAAAGAGTGGTTGTGCGTGGGAGAAAGTGCCTTGAAAAACGCACGGTGGAGGACCGCCACTCGTTCAGATGGTTGGGATGCAATTTTAGTTTATGGCGGGTTGATAATCACAGGTTAGGCTTTTAGTGATGTTTTGAAATGGATGTTGTTGCCTATTCCTCTACCAATAAATTTCCTTAGTGGCCTCTTAAGACACTCATGGGAAAGGAAGGGGTGGCATGTTCTATATCGGGACCACACGGCGGTTCGCTATATACATATATGTATAATCTAAGACGATCGACTTTACAAGAAAACGTTTTTTAATTAATCTTTATTTTCATTTAATATACTGAAGTCTGGATTTATGCTCAACCCACAATCACCCAATCAAATTGGGACTTGTCAGAATATTAGCGCTACTAACAGCGGGTAATGTGCCTGCCGTTGATGGCTTAATGTTAAGATTGACCGTTGATAATTTTTAATATTATTATTATTGTACTTTTTTTATATCACAAAGGCAGCAAGCAACAGCCCGAGGGAGAGGGATTGTTAGTAATGTAGACTGCCAGTCCCATTGCTAGCAATACACCCTGTCAGGTCGACCTCCTGGTCCCCCCTGGAAACCATTGTGCTGAATTCCAGGTGTATTTATCATGATGGGCTAATTGACCTGTCCTTTCAATCTCACCTATCTTCCCTCACGGGTACTCCGTCAGCGTATACCATTAGCGCAAGCAAGGTTATCATACATAAAAAAAAACCCGTCTGATGGTAAACGGTCACTGTAGCAACACTAGGGATGTCACGTGCGCGTTGCCGACCCTGATGAAACTTTACATATGAAATTATTTTATAGCCTATAAATGTTTTCTATTCTATTCGCAAGTTACGTTTGTTGCTTTAAAATAGTTTTATTTCAAGAGAGGACGCTGTGAACAATGAAAATAGGGCAACTCCACACTAAGTCGTCAAACGATTATTGTGCAATGCAAATAAAGGCGAAACGTGAATGCCTATAACAACAATTTTATTGCTTTGTACACAAGGAAAATAAATATGAACATAACTGAGGTGATTATTACTATTTTATTATGATTTATTAGTTAGGTAGTTTATAGTTAACGTTTTTCTTAACTGCCAAAGGGTTAACTTTGCTGTGCTACTGGTTTACACTAACGAGGAACTAATCATGGATAACGCCATCTTTTTTTTTATTGGATGAAAATAGAATGGTAACCCCGCCTGTGCTAACGAGATATGCTGGCGGGGCACCAGTGAAGGGTGATAGATGAGAATGAAAACAGGCCAGTTAGCCCATCATGATGAATTCATCTGGAAATAATCATGATAGTTTCCAGGGGGAACCACGAGAAGGTCAACCTGGTTGGGTACATTGCTAGCAATGGGATTCTTAGTCTCCATTACTAACAATCCCTTTCCCCCCACATCATCTTATTCATTATGTTCGTGGATGAATATGAAAAGGTAACCCCGCCTGTAGGGGGAAAAGGGATTGTTTGTAATGGAGACTAAGAATCCCATTGCTAGCAATATACTCAACCAGGTCGACCTCCACGCGGTTCCTCCTGGAAACCATCGTAGTTAATTCTAGTGAAATTCATCACGATGGGCTAGCTGACCTGCTTTCATCGTCACCTATCATCCATCACTGGTGCCCCGCCAGCGTATACCGTTTGCGCAGGCGGGGTTACCATTTCATTAAAAAAATTACTCATTAAAAAAATCCCGCCTGTGCTACTAGTTTACGCTGGGAGGAAGGGATTGCTAGTAATGTGTACTACCAGTCCCATTACTAGCAATAGACCCTATCAGGTCGACCTCCTCGCGGTTCTCCTTGGAAACTATCATGGTTAATTCCTGACGAATTCATCATGATGGGCTAACTGGCCTGTTTTCATTCTCATCTATCACTCTTTACTGGTGTTCTGCCAGCGTATCCCGTTAGCGCAGGCGGGGTACCATACCATTTTCACCCATCAAAAAAAAACCCGCCTGTGCTACTGGTTTACGCTAACGGGGAACCAATGAGGGATGTCACTATCTTACTCATATTGTTCGTGAATAAATATGGAATGTAATGTATGTGTATCAATTGTCTAGTAATAATAGTACAAGCTTTGCTTAGTTTGCGACTAGATGGCGCTTCGTAACATGTCTAATGGTATTTATTATTGTATTAATTATTATATGCTAGGTATTTGAACTGTTTTACCTGTTACCAGTGAAGTATGCAACATCGCCGTCCAGCTGAAACATGGAGTCCTTGTAGCCCCACCCGTACCATTTTAGTATGTCTTGTCTGAAAAAAATAAATATTTAATAAAAAATATTTATTATTTTATCATTATCAATATTTAAGCCGTTAACTGTCCACTGCTGAACATAAGCTTACCCAATAAGGGGAGTTTTGCTAATACTGCCACGCTTGCTAACGAGTATTAGTACATTACTGCAGCGGCCAGCAACTGAGGCATTGATTAACGAACGTGCAAATATGGGCCGAGACGTAGACGAGGCACACATACATGAGTCCATCAATGCCTAGTTGTGACCAAGTTTTCAAACAATGCGCGGAAATCAAAAACACAATTTTACTTTTTTAGTTCAATGACGAATAACGAACAATAATAATTTTTTTACGCGCCATAATGTTCCTTTGTTTTTTTTTTTCAATAAACAGCTTTCTATTGCTAGCCAGTTCGAAATTTAAATAAAACCTTTTCTTAGTTAACTCCTTGGAAGCCATGTTTCGAAGTAAAAGGTCATTCCATTTTTAAATTACAGGACATATGAGTTTACATAGTAATTTATCTGGCCGCAAAACACGACAGATATGGATTTTCATACACCTTTGCCAGCCGCTGCCCGCATGTACCTGGCCAGTACGGCAATTTTGATTTATCTCGAAGAAGATTGTCAAAATAATGCTCACATTTCCAAGCATGTTTAAGAAAAATGTATTAGTTGTTATTCGTAGCTTTGCCCGCATGATTATTAGCGCATTGTTTTTTTTATCTTTTTTATTTATAAGCTTTTATCCTATAAGGATGTCAGTCAGCCTCATCATACCCTAGTCTTAGCGCATTGTTAACTATATAATTGCTTTGCAGTTCCGGCAAATTCCGATGAATTCATCAGAACTAGCCAATTGACGTCACACCATCCTCATCTATCACCCGCCACTGGTTCTCCGCCAGTGCAAACCAATAGCGCAGACAGGGTCACTATTCCATTCATCATTTTGAAAATATCTAATATTATATTTACTACTTTAAAAGATAATGCACTGAGTGACTGAATTGTTTTATAAACCTTTGCGATAATGCATAACTTTCATTTATTTGCATTAATATGGGTACAGTTATAAATATATATATATATATATATATATATATATATATATATATATATATATATATTTTAATTAAATAAATTATATTGAAATGTTAATGTTGATACAATACAATATGTATTAATCTCATTGATACAATGCAAAACAATGCATTTATTGTTGAATGAGACTGCTGTTTCGTAACTAAATTTTTATGTTATTTAGTCATAAGTATAATTACATTTTATATTATGTGGTACTATCATACTATCAGAAATGACAAAGTTTGTGAGGATTTTGGACAACAATCCCTTGGCGTTGATGTTATGTACATCTTAGAAGGGATAGTTAGTAATGCGGACTATTAGTATCATTGCTAGTAATATACCTCCACGTGCTCCTCCCTGGAAACCATCCTGCTGAATCCCAGGTGTATTCATCACGACGAGCTAACTGACCTGCCTTTTCATCCTCACTTATATCCCTTACTAGTGCCCCGCCAGCGTATCAAGTGAAGCGCATCAAAGGGCCTACCATGAAATGTTTTCCCAAATTTCGGAGCTGAACGAAACACGAATTTGATGTTAAAATTACATTATACTTACTGTTTAAAAACATTAAAAATATGAAAATATTATTCCTTTGGACTTTTATTGTAGGATTTATGACGAATGAAATGTTGAGCTCTTTTTTTACTGGGCCGATTTAGGTATGAACGAAAACTCGAAATTGAGTCCGAAACTTCGGAATTTCATTTCATGGTAAGCCCCCAGGCACTTGGCCGCAATGATAAGATTTTTGAAGTCGGTTGCAACATAAAAGACGGTTTTATATTATAGTTGCGCAGACCCTTCTAGATAACCTTTAGGTGAAGGACATCGAAAAAAAGGATAGGGGTTATCAAGACATATCAGAATAATTTGGCACTGTAAGTAGTATGTATTAAAAATTATTAACCATTTTTAATTACAATTACATAAATTTTGCTTTTCCATTATAATGCCGTGACGGTAAACTCTACGATGTCGTGCCTTGTAACGATAAATTATAAAAGCGCCCATAGAAGTGACATATCATATTTAAAAATACGTGTGATGTGACAATTTGATGCAGGTCAAATATGATATCACCGGCATCACTGATAAGGAGATAATGTGTGCGTGATAATATTTGATGTGATAGTGCGTGTTTTGAGGGCAAGCCTTCAGGTAGGATTGAAATGATAATGTATTACGTAGAGTATACATATATATACCTCAACGTCAGGTAGAAACTACAATACAGGAAGTTTACTATTTATACAACGTATTAAACTGTATTTTTTTTACTTTTTTAAAAGAAGAGAGGACAGGATAAGGAGGAAAGGTGTTTGCGCTATCGGTATCTGCTGGATGATAAGTAAAGACGAAGTGAGTTTAGTTGGCTCATCATGACGAATTTACTGGTAATAAAAGTGGTCTCCAAGAGGAACCATATGGAGATCTACCTGACAGGGTACTAGACCTCATAATCCCTAATAATCCCCTCTATGAAATAGCTAGAGTATCACGTGTGTTTTGCTGACCTTTTAGAAACTTCTGCATACATTTTTGGAACATTACGTACTGTAATCTAACAGGAAAATATGGCAGTTTTTCTATTCTATTTCAACGCCACAATTTGTCCCAATTTTATCCTAAATTATTTGCATATGCGTAATTTTTTTTCTGTTCTGGTCATGTACACCAAATGGGACTTACCATGATATCCGTGTTATGGATAACGGAACACATTAATATACGAGTAGGTAATTAACTATACATGTTCTAATATGTTTTTCCAGTACATTGCTTCGCAAAAAAATTGATTTTGGTCGAAAACCGAATGCTTCATACATATCTCCTACATTGTGTGTAATTATTATTTAAATTGCGTGTTAGATTCTGTATCGCAACAAACAGTTTTTTGCTTAGCAAAAATAAACGGAAACTTCATGCAAATTAAAAAGAATGTGAAAAATGTTCAGAATTACAAACATAATCGCGTAACGTAGCCGAAACAATTCAGGCAAATTAGTACGAATTAATTGTTAATATAAAAATATTGACGTGAAGTAGAAAAAAGTGCAGATACTTAAGGCGCGACGGAATTATAAACATCCAAACATCTCTAAGTACAAACTTTGATAGTTGGTTAAAAATATATTTTTAGTTACTATCAGCATAATTCATATATTGGTCAGTGAGGTTCTTATCTTATCAGATGTTAGCAGTATTACCAAGAAATTGACAGGTTTGGCATTAACAAGGTGTAAATAAAGGATTAGTAGTATATATTGAAGAAAGTGATACAAGAAGCGTAATACTTATTTATCTGTTATGAATATTTTCCGGAATTTTGAAACCGAAAGAAAAAACTTCATGTTAAAATAACGAAAAAAAAAAAAATCTAAATAGCAATATATCGATTGTTGAGTTGAGTATCAGTTTTCGTTTAAGGGTCCTATTCCAATTTGAACATGTTTCATTACAGGTACGTACGAAATTGGGGACCGAAACTTCGGAATTAGGTTTCATGGTAGACTCACAATCTTTAGAAGCAGCAATGTACTGGCGACTGCCGTAGGTTTTGGGCGATACAATATTTATTTAAATTATAATTCACATTGAAATGGAGTACCAAAAAACATTCAGCCAACTATTGACTAACACATTGTTTTTTCATAATTTACGAAACCTAGAGAAAATATTGATGACATCATAAATCTGGATAAACAACAAGACAATAGCTGCGACAAAGCCAAATTACAAGATAAACACGATTTTATAGATTGCGTAAACCATTTAAAAAAAAATTAGGTCTTTTTGTAGAAGCATTTCTAGAGCGACACCCTATCTAGAAGTTGTTCGTGATTATTTATATTTATGTTTTAAATACTTAGGTGAAATAGTGAAATTTAATATTGCGATAATAAAATAATAGTGGGCAACTTCAATAAAAAAAAAAAAAAACTGGTTAAGGAGAGTTTAACACACATGTCTAGGGATCCATGTATAAAATATTCTGTAAATAGGTATATTTCTGACATCCTTAGATAAAATATGTAGTATATAAAATGACCTTATATACAAAATAAATTTTATTGTTTTTTTCATGAAATGGAAATGAAAAAATCGAAACTCCTTCCTTATTTAGAGCCATAACTATGTTTAAAAACCGGACGTGAAACTAAAATTTTGGAGTATTTGATAATACTGTTCGCGGTTTTTTTGTCATTTAATCGGGTTCAGGAACGTTGTTATTTAATTGCATGAAATTAAATTATTCGGGGACGTTTTGGAGGATTATATAAATATACTCAGATATTTTTAGGTCTATGCGTCGTTAATTCAATATAGGTACCTATTGCCTAAGTGGAGCAGGTCGCCGGCCGTCACATGTTTTTATTTAGGTTCACTATAAATAGACCTGAGTGTATTAAAAATAATAAAATCCATTTAATTATAAATAACTTTTATTGCATCTTACCTTCGTCTAGGTATCACACTTTTCACTTTTATTACTGTACTATCACTATTGTTATTAATTTCGCTTCTTTTAGTTGTAGCACTTGAACTGTTTTTCTTATCACCTGTCCGAATATTATCATTATTCGCATTTTGACTCATTTTTATGAACTGACTATAGACGCCGCCGATATTTTTACAAGGGGCGACGATTATAGATTTGTGTCGAAAAGCATTTGGTGCGATTTTTATAAATCGCGCAGACTGCCGCGCATCTAATGACAGATAACGCCGATAAAGCAGAATAAAATGTCTTTCAGCGCCATCTAGTATTTTGACATAGAATTATGTCACTTCACGTCCATGTATAAAAGAAAAAGAAAAAGCATGTATAAAAATTTAAGTGAACTTCTGCTTACTTACAAATTATTTTAATTCTTTATCAATTAAATAGATGTCGCTTATAAATACATATATTAAACTTTTGCGCATATTTATTTGTCTAGTGAAAAACATTTAAGCCAAGTTGCAACTTTTTTATTTTTTATCCAATTCCTTGTTCTTAGTTTTTTATAGTTGTGCAGGGCCGGCTTTAGCCTACGTGACGCACATGCGCATATTTTAAAAATTAAAACAAATCCATCAAGGTTCTATATAATATATAAAATTATCTCTAAATAGGTATTTGTTTTATTTAAATATCGATTTTAAAATTTATTTAAAATTTTGAGTATGAGATATAATAACATTATGTACAAATATGTTTATTGTATTTTTTATACGAAATAGAAAATAATAATAAATATTTTTACTGTAATTCGAGATTTCCAATTTCAGACTACAATGGGTTAAAACCGAATTTTATAATTATTTAAATGTAAATATTTTTGGACACTGTTTCAAAAACTGTGTTAGTTAAAAGCGTCCATCTAGTTTTCTGTAATATTTATTTACATATATAAATTGTAATTATTTCAGATTTTTCGTTCTACAAATTTCGGGGACAATATGGTTTTGTATTTTTTCCCCAGTTTGTATGAAAAGTCGAGGTATAAGAACTCTTTTGGAATCATTTAGGGTATCTAGGTATGCAAATGAAGACCTTTTATTATGATAGATACCATATTTAGAATAGCAAGTGCATTTTTAAATTTTGAGTATCGTTTTAATAGGGAAATTATTCAATTACCTGTTTAATTTGCAATACATGTGGTAAGTTTTCAAATCAATAATATTAATAATTGCTGATGTAAAGCGTTAAGACATGAAGAAAGTTATACCATAAAGGTTCCTTAGTGCCATTTCGATATAGAACCCTAAATGTGTATTATAGATAAATAAATCAACAATCATTCAATAAAATATTTTATTGTTCAATTATGTTGTACATACAAAATAGGTAGATACTTAAATTACTATTAAATGCTATTGTTAAAGCGATAACTGTTACGGATAATTGATTGATATCGACTGTTATTAAAAATAGAATAAATAATTAAGAAAAAAATTCAATCATTCATGTTCAGGACAATGTGTATACAGCCATAAAGTAGGGTTAGTAGTATTTCATGAGCAATCAGATAACAGTCTGAAGTATTATAATTATACCCATAACAGCGTATAGGCTAAATTCAAATCTCCAACTAGGTTTGTAACTGAAACACCCTACCCAAAGTCCTACCAAGCTGTTCTTATACCTTTAGATAAACAACTTATATTATTTATCTAAGGGTATACTTATTGCTTACGATATCGTAATTTTTTTTTATTGCAACACTTGTCTATACCTTATAAATAAGAGTACTGTGTAATTAATTCATTTTATTTTTGAGTTAATATCAAATACAAGGTATGTATGCTTTGTTTATATTATGTTAGCTTTATCTGGTAGGTAAAGTAAGTTACAGTTTGATATAAAATAAGTGATTTGAATTTTTGTCCACTCATGAACAAGCGTCCCGTTCACAGATGACTGCTATTTTTTTTTTTTCAAAGATATTAACTAGTAGACGCTACAGCTACCGAGGTTGATTTAGCTAGCATAATCAGAATGGGCTTATGATTCTATCTATGTGTTGCATCATGTTTGTTTCTTAAAAAAATGCTATTCATACACCTAAATAATAATTTAAATTCGTATCAGCAGTCTTACAAATAAGTCTAAGCACCTATCGATTGCTTAATGCTAAATCGCGAAGCGGTTAATATCTACCTATATACAAAATAAAAACCTTCATTTTCGTCACAATAAAATATAAATAGCAAAATTATCTAATGTTTTAAAAATTTCTTGGTTAATCGCGATCTGCGTGTTATAACATCGAATATTTTTGGCGTATTTATTGCCTAATAATGTTCTACGAACAAAAGTCCTTCGTTTTTTAGGTTAATAAGATTTGATACTTATATTTTAATACTTGATTAATAGTGATTACAATCACGTTTAAGTACGAAATTGGATATTATAATTTTTGTAAAAAATCTGTAACCGAAAAGTTGTCAAGGGCTAGTGTCGTATTCAGCATATCTTCGGTCGCGTATTTTCGGGAGTTGTCAGATGCGATTTTGAATTTTACCCAAATCTCAAAAACATTTCTTCAAATTGATACGATATGATTTTTAAAGTCAGTCTCAAATTGTTGTAGGTTTTCATTATATTTTGCTATGTATAGTTACAAGTTACAAGAGCAACGAAAAAACTGTTTTTCTCAGCGTCTGATTTTTTTATCTTAATTGCTGGTATATATTATTGAATTAATATACTGCACGGTTTACTTATATGAAAATTGTAAAAAAATTATTACAATTTTCTCCCAGAATTTCGTGAAAATAAGCAGTTTAGTTTAGTAAAAATTTACTCGAAATTGCGAAAAATATATCCAATCTGGCAACACTGCTGGCGGACGAAGATACATTGATTGTGAATGTGGCACTAGCCAAACTAGACATGTTTGATACATTTATACGTATAAAGTATTAAATCTAATGCTGTTGACTTATATGGACATAATTACTTAATTCTAGCTTTAGTAGCAAAATGAAAGTATACATTAAGACAATTTTTAATAAAAGTACAGCAAGAATTAGGTTAATAAATATGTAAAAAAAAACTTATTTTAAAACTATACATTTTAAAACTATAAGTGCAGGGTGCAAGATGCGAAATAAGACAATTTGATTTACTAAACAGGTATCTACTGTAATATCTTAATAGAAAAAAAAAAATACTAAGCGATCTATTCTAACCTCATGATAGGTCCCTACTTTAAAAATTTGTTATTTTTGAATATTGTTTTATCAGTACAAGAGCTATTGATATTAGGAACCGAAATGGATGGCTCTATTTAGAAATATTGTCTTAAGGGCTATTCCCAATAATATAACTACTAACATCATGATATAAGATGATGATTATTCTAAACGTTTCTATATTTATGTAAAGAAACTAGAATAGAATAGAATACAGTTGCTATTGCGTTCTATTAGCGTATACTGACTTCTATGAATATTATAAGTCATTAAAGACAGACACGTAATACCTCAATGTGAAAGAAATTTATTGGGAACTATGTTTTAGTAAAAGTGCGCTAAAATTATACTCATTGTTTTAATTTCACTGCAAAAATTAAAATAGTAGGTTTCTATTATGAAGAAAGCGAATTAATTAAATTAAAAAATTACTGGGCCATCAACAAACATGTAGGTACCTAATTAGAGATGTTTACACTAATGTTCAAACGGGAGAGTAATTGATTATGGCAGTAGTCTATGGTATTCCGCAGATTTCTTATTTTTCTCTATGACATAAAAGGATTTAGGTTTTCCGTTGCCCGAGAAATATTTTCTGAAGGAAGTCTTTTTAGCTGGCACGTAGTAAGCTAATGCGTTCAATGAGTTCGGATGATTGTTGGCCTCTTTTGGCCATGTGGGTGTACTTTCCACGTCGACAACGTCATCGTCGAATCTCGCTTGTGGTCGGTTCTTGGCGAGCTTCTGCAATACTGGAATATTCCAATGGTAAACTCTGGCTGGTTTGCCGTTACTTGTCATTTGTAAAGGTAAAGTTCTGGCCGCGGCCGGGGCTGGGTCTGCGTGGGTGTAGTAGCTTGTATTCGGGGGGAGTTTGATAACGAACATTCTGGAATCTCCAGTAGCGTGCCTTCTGCCTTGCTCGGCTAGCCGTTTGCGGTGGTGAGCGGCGGGTATCCTGAGTTTTTTAAGGCCAAGGGAGCTGAGGAGTTCGTGTGTGCTCGGTTCTTTCTTGTCGTCCATTATACTGTTGCCGTGGCTCGACGATGAGGCCGGGGCACCACGTGTTATGGAGACGGCGGCGAGCAGTGCGACAATCCTGTAACAGGAGATAAAAGTTTTTATACAACTGGCCACTATTTTGGGAACATAATAATAAACAAAACATTTACTAGAACATCAACATTGTTAAAGTTGTTACAATTTTGTTGTTTCCGAACACTGCCTGCACTGTTTTAGTCATACATTGTATATGCCTTAATATTGAAACGATTCTTTAAAACTCTTAGTTACTATCTTATTGAGAAAAATATGACATCACTATACAAGGTGAAATTAAACTCTTTACAATCTTTTGAAGGGAGTGTTCTATCAGTGGACCACCACCATCACCAAAAAAACATGGGTCGAAAAAGGACAAAATAATTTGATTCTACCGTATTAATACGGCGAGTTTAGTTGGTAAGTTAGTAAATACATTTTCATTTTATACTTTTTGATTCACGAAACTCTAGTCCTATATACTCTCTGTTCTATAGCAGCAATATGTTCTATAGTTGCAGCTGAAAAGCAGTGCTTTGCTTTTAAGCAAAACTATCACTGAGCTGTAGCCTATTTGGGTCACTGCGACACACTTGGTGAAAACATATCTCTATACTTCATCTTTTGTTTTATATTTGAAAAATGTAAATAATTTGATTGTATAAACTCATTTGTTAATTTACGTGTGTCATAAATGGCTCAAATAAAGTGTTTATCTATCTATCTATAGCATGAGTAGATTTTAGTTTTACATATTTCCATTTTTGTCTGTATATTTCTCATCTATCACTTTGCAGATATCGTCATAATTTCCATTATTTATTGTAAAAGAAAATTACAAAATACAAGATAGGAAACTAAAAATATCAATGAAACTAGAACCTCCTCTTTTAAAGACGTCTCTATAGAAAAGACATTAGATTCAGGCAAGACAGACGTTAAGAGGTTCGTAACACAACACCATGCTTTCAAAGCAGACATAAAAAGGCAAACAAAATGAAACTTCGTCTTTCCTTACTATCCCTTCAATGTTGAGAATTTTCTTAGGGTGCATTGACACCGGATCGTTTGTTAGAATAAGCCGCGGAACTTGAATGGTCAAATATGCCAACACTAAAACCCAGTGTCCCCCATGCGTATGCCGTTGGTTCAAAGCCAATTAGCATAGACGTTGTTAGGCGTTGTGTACACTGGGCCTTTTAGAATTTTCATAACGGTTCGTGAAAGAGTTTTGTTGTTATTTTTGTAGTGTAAGTACTTAATGTCAGTTATTTGTTACGTGCCGGTTAGCAGCGAAAGGAATTTGGTTTGTTCCCTCGGTTGCACCACAGTGTGTCAAATCGCTGGAGGTGTAACGAGTATATTACACGATTCCATCTAAGCGATTTATTCTGGTTGAAAAGCGTAAAAATTAAAAGTAATGTAGTTAAAAAAATGTTTACATTATTCAATATATTTTATCTAAATTGTACCGTATAATATTGTTGTTAAGTTTAACGTAGTTTGTTACTATTTGTTATTCGGGAGTTTATTAGAAATTTACTACACGTAATCGATTTGCTGTGGTTTTTTTATACAACTTAGAATGGCAAACAAGCTGACGGCCCACCTCATGGAAAGTGGTAACCGTCGCCTATAGACATGAGCAGTGCCATGGACATAACAGAGTATACTGTTTCGCCCATGATACCCCCCATGCGTTGCCATTCCTGAGGACTCAGATGTTATTCCTCTGTACCCAGTAAATTCACGCCATATCCCACCCTTCAAACCGAAAGACAGCCATAAAAAAAAACACAACTGCTTCACGGTAGAAACACGCGATTAATTGATAATTTTGAATAAAATTTTGTAGATTTTTTGCAACCGATAGGATTTATATTTATTTAATTCAATTTTATTGCACAAGAAACAAAAAATACACAAAGACATTTAAACAATTCAAGTAAAATACAGTAACATAAATTACAGATTAAAATATACACATAAAGGTACTCGTAGAAAAGGTATATTAGTGTTGGTTTTATTTAATTTTGTTATGAATATTTTTTGACTTCTCATGATTAATGTTATATTTGTTCTGTGATTTTTGTAGAGTTTCTCTCTCTTACTTTTGAAGTGTTTCATTTTCACCGCTCCCTCATTGTGACGCGGGCACCACACTCTATGCATTGCCATGCATGCACAATAAGTTTCTTATATTGCCATACCAGTTATAACGATAACTAATTTTAAATTCAACCCTAATGCTATAGTATTAAGGAACGACAAGCACCTATGTGTCAGTTTGTCATCTTACGCATAACTTAGTGACTTCACTTGTACTTGCGAGAATGGAAGTTATTCTTGGTAAACCAAGACAATGGACAATGTGCAACTATAAGTGAAATACGATTCGGTTTGAGGATTGTAACTAAAAATAAAATACTTGTAGGTATTTACGAAAACAAACATGTTACTAACTACTATTTGGATAGATAGAAAGTGGTAACCGTCGCCTATAGACATGAGCAGTACTATGGACATAACAGAGTATACTGTTTTGCCCATGATAATCCCCCATGCGTTGCCATTCCTGAGGACTCAGATGTTATTCCTCTGTACCCTGTAAATTCACGTCACATCCCACCCTTCAAATCGAAACACAGCTACGCAAACACAACTGCTTCACGGTAGAAACACGAATGGGACAGAGGTACTCAAGCAATCGACTTGGTAAGGGAGAAGAATAAAGATTCTATACTGTGTCGTTCAGTATGAAGTCATTAGTTCATTACACGTAATATTTGCGGATTACAATCGTTTCTTGGATGTCATCGTGTTGGTGTTTATGTAAGAGACATTCTAATCCGTCCATTACCAGTTATTACACGGTAACTAGTCGTATAAGGGCAACCATTAAACGGGATAGGACATGCACGCCACACAGTGTAAAAAAAATAGAGCGACCATGTGAATAAAATGTGAAAAAATTATTAATTCACTCTTGCGCCACCTACCCACTTCTATCTGTTCTCCTTTAATCAAAGGTTGTCTGTAAGAGATTGCCCTAGCGATAAGACCGCCTTTTGTAACTTTATGTGTATATTTTAATCTGTATTTATGTTACTGTATTTCACTTGAATTATTCACTTGTCATTGTATATTTTTGTTTATGATGCAATAAAGAGTTAAATGAATAAATAAATATCTCAAAATACGAAGCAAAAGGTTGTTAAGATTGTGTTTTAATAAAAGAAAACGACTTCAATTGTGAGAAAACCTGTTATTATTGATTTAAAACTAATAAATTACTGAACCGATTTTGATAGAATTTCTCTGGAACCAATCTGTAAGTGTGCCTTCTTTTATCTGAAAGAATATCTTTTAGATAAAAAAGTAATTTTCCAAATCGGTTTACAACTGATCGACTGAAGTTACGAGGTAACAAACATAAAAAAATATATCAGAATTGAAAACCTACTTCTTTTTGAAGTTAGCTGAAAAGTTTGTTAAAATATCTGCGACTTCAATAGTGACAAAATAAACTGATGAATAATGTCGTGTCTTGTAGACACCTTAGATCAGTGATTCTCAACCTTTTTTTTGTTGCGGCACATATTTAACGATTTCAAAATTTGACGGCACACAAAGAAAAAGATAAAAATTATTTACTTACTACAACACACTGCATAAATAGTTTATGATAAAAATTTTAAATATTTGCAAAATTTGGCGGCACACTTTTAAAATTTGGCGGCACACAAAAGTGCCGCGGCACAGTGGTTGAGAATCACTGCCTTAGATTGATAATGTTTGAATTCAAAATATGGAAGTCTGTTTTTGTATATCTTTTACTTATTTTAGATATATTTAAATTTAGATACTTTTATATTAGGAACTTTAAAATGTTAGATACACTTTTGTTACGATATTACTGTAAGATTAATCTTAAGTTCGCGTTTCTTTCTATCATCTAACAAAGTTATTCAACAAAATGAAATGCAATATTTATTTTTAAATCCCTACAAGAAGTATAAAAAAATGAAATATCTGCGATGTAAAGATTATAAAATTGACAAGCTTTTATTTGCGGGTTTGTCCATGTGAATCAATATTATAAAAAACTTATATGTTAAGCTACTATATCTATTTCTGTACCGAATTTCATTTGAATCCGTTAAGCCGTTTAAGCGTGATCGAGAAACAAAAAAAGCCTGTAAACTAATTTATTTGAATAAGTGTGATTTGAGTTTTAATATAAATATATAAACGTCTTTACAATCTTTCACAAGTTTAATATTAGTAGGACGCCAGTGATAGACCGCTCTACAATGTTCTTATTAGTGGCGACTTAGCCACGGAGTTCCATGTAGTTGTCCGCGTCATTACACGGCTGTTATTCCATGTAGACAGCTTGCCGAATACGGGAAGAAGTGAGGTAATGTATAATTTATTAAAAGCACATTATTGGTCCAATTAATTATGGCCTTAGTTTTTTTATCTTAAGATTTATCACTTGATATTTTGTTGCATTTGTATATAGGATGAAATATTGCGCTTGCAACTGTTTAGGTAATAAGTATTAGAGGATATTGGATGTTTAAAATTGATGTTTTTCGACCATATTTCTTGAGATAAAAATTGAAGTATTTTATTAGTAATAGACTTTAGTAATGATTGTAGCCTATATACGTATACTAATGATTTTTTTTTATTGATAACAATGGAATGGTAACCCCTCCTGCGCTATCAGTATACACTGGTGGGGAACAACTGAGGGATGATTGGTAAATATGGAAAAGCGGGTCAGTTAGTCCATCCTGACGAATTCAACGATAAATTAGTCACGATGGTTTCCAGCGGGAACCGTGTCGAGGTCCACCTGATAGGGTATATTAATAGCAATAGGGGCTAAATCCTCCATTACTAACCATCCCTTCCCTTCTAAACTAATGGCTATGCCCGTGGCTTCGTCTGCGTGATTGAATTTTTTATTCCTCTCTGTCTCCAATATTATATTAGGGGAAAGGGATTGTTAGCAATGGAGTTTGACAGCCCCATTGTTAGCAATATGCC